ACATCAGGGGGCGCTCAGGTTCTGGAGTCTGATGATGTCATCAGTTCAGACAAGTGTGGGGCGAGTCTGTGACATCACACTGGGGCGGGGTTCTACATGGACCTCTATGGTAGAATGTTTAGCAGTTTCCATGGTGATATATGTGTATGTATGTGTGTATATGTATATGTGTATATGTGTATATGTGTATAAATGTATATGTGTATATATGTATATGTGTGTATATGTGTGTATATGTGTATATGTGTATATGTGTATATGTGTATATGTGTATAGACACACATGTAAAACATCCCCAGCATGATGTCACCACAAAGAATCAAAGGTCCAATCTCAGATCTTCAGCAGCACTAAACCAGGACTAAACCAGGACTAAACCAGGACTAAACCAGGACTAAACCAGGACTAAACCAGGACTAAACCAGGACTAAACCAGGACTAAACCAGGACTAAACCAGGACTAAACCGGACTAAACCAGGACTAAACCAGGACTAAACCAGGTCTAAACCAGGACTAAACCAGGACTAAACCAGGACTAAACCAGGACTAAACCAGGACTAAACCAGGACTAAACCAGGACTAAACCAGGACTAAACCAGGAACCTAAAACCAGGACTAAACCAGGACTAAACCAGGACTAAACCAGGACTAAACCAGGACTAAAGGACTAAACAGGACTAAACCAGGACTAAACCAGGACTAAACCAGGACTAAACTAAACCAGGACTAAACCAGGACTAAACCAGGACTAAACCAGGACTAAACCAGGACTAAACCAGGACTAAACCACTAAACAGGACTAAACCAGGAACAGGACTAAACCAGGACTAAACCAGGACTAAACCAGGACTAAACCAGAACTAAACCAGGACTAAACCAGGACTAAACCAGGACTAAACCAGGACTAAACCAGGTCTAAACCAGGACTAAACCAGGACTAAACCAGACTAAACCAGGACTTAAACCAGGACTAAACCAGGACTAAACCAGGACTAAACCAGGACTAAACTAAAACCAGGGACTAAACCAGGACTAAACCAGGACTAAAAGGACCAGGACTAAACCAGGACTAAACAGGACTAAACCAGGGACTAAACCAGGACTAAACCAGGGACTAAACCAGGTCTAAACCAGGACTAAACCAGGACTAAACCAGGACTAAACCAGGACTAAACCAGGACTAAACCAGGACTAAAACAGGACTAAACCAGGACTAAAACCAGGAACTAAACCAGGACTAAACCAGGACTAAAACCAGGACTAAACCAGGGACTAAACCAGAACTAAAACAGGACTAAACCAGGACTAAACCAGGACTGAACCAGGACTAAACCAGGACTAAACCAGTCCTGAACCAGGACTAAACCAGAACTAAACCAGGACTAAACCAGGCCTGAACCAGGTCTAAACCAGGACTAAACCAGGACTAAACCAGAACTAAACCAGGACTAAACCAGGCCTGAACCAGGTCTAAACCAGGACTAAACCAGGACTAAACCAGAACTAAACCAGGACTAAACCAGGTCTAAACCAGGACTAAACCAGGACTAAACCAGAACTAAACCAGGACTAAACCAGGCCTGAACCAGGACTGAACCAGGTCTAAACCAGGACTAAACCAGGACTGAACCAGGACTAAACCAGGACTAAACCAGGACTAAACCAGACCTGACACTTGTGTGCGTTCGGGGGGAGGGGCTAAAGGACAGGTGAGGCTGGGGTCACACAGACAGAGCAGAGTTGTGATTGGACGATGACTCACAAGACAGTGACATCACACAGACGCTGACGTACCATTGGTCGGTTCCTCACTGGTCACTGACAGAGATTCTGAAAGAGCAACAACGAGACCGGCCGTGAACCAGGACTAAACCAGGACTAAACCAGGACTGAACCAGGTCTAAAACCAGGACTGAACCAGGTTTAAACCAAGATTAAACCAGGTCTAAACCAGGACTAAACCAGGTCTAAACCAGGACTGAACCAGGTCTAAACCAGGACTGAACCAGGTCTAAACCAGGAGTAAACCAGGATTAAACCAGGTCTAAACCAGGACTAATCCAGGTCTAAACCAGGACTGAACCAGGTCTAAACCAGGATTAAACCAGGATTAAACCAGGATTAAACCAGGACTGAACCGGGACTGAAGTAGCTCAGATAAACCTCGTTGTTCTTCTAAACATTCTGAGATGTTCCTCTGACAAACGTTTGGTCTCGATAGAAACAGATCACACAAACCCAACGAGACGAGGACACGAGGACAGAGGACAGAGGACACGAGGACACGAGGACAGAGGACACGAGGATACGAGGACAGAGGACACAAAGACAGAGGACAGAGGACACGAGGATACGAGGACAGAGGACACGAGGATACGAGGACAGAGGACACGAGGACACAAGGAGAGAGGAGACGAGCAGAGAGGAGAGACAGGGGGAGAGGATGCAAGGAGACGAGGACACAAGTGGAGGAAGAGGAGGAGGAAGAAGAGGAGGAGG